GGGAAGGGGAGGGGGAGGGAGTGAGAAAAACATCTATCAGCTGCCTCCCATAACTGCCAGGACTGGGGATCAAACCGGAAACCTGGATATGTGCCCTGACCTGGAATCAAACACGTGATAACCCTTTGATGCACCGATGAGGCTCCAACCAACTGAGCCACACCAGCGAGGGCTATAAAATCTATATTCTTAACTAAAACTTCTGGCATGATCTTGTTTTCAAACCAATTGGGGAAGGGGGCAGCCTTGAAAAACCTGAGAGGTAGCAAGCCATAAAAGCTAAGCATTTTGTATTTTACACATTTTAAGTATCAAAATATCTCACTGGTAAGCAATAATTATGTTTAGGGCTAGTTTTTGGTGCCTGATAAAGCAAATGGAATTCCTTCACAATTCAGTGCTTCAAAGATACCTTTAAATGTAGCAGAGAAAGCGCTGAAGGGCTCAGCCCAAGGACAAATGCCTTTAAAAACCAAATTCACTAAGTAAACCTAAACCAACCTTTTCTCCTAATCCTGACTTAGATTTTCTTATTTTTGCACTTTGCAACACGATTTAATGGAAAATACTTATTGCTGAACTATTTCTGCTATATGCTTACTTGCAACAAAATTCTACATCAGCAAGCATCACATTCACAGAAACTATATTCAAAATCAGAAAAAAACAACTATCAAGATTATGTATTTTGTGTTTAAACCAAAAATAGGTTTTTTTAAGCATATTCTTCTTGTGAATCTTCTTCAAATGTATTTTCCTTCCTCAGCCTGTTGGTGACTGTATTGCTACTACTTTTAAGCTAACCCCACTTTCAAACACGGTGAAATCTGAGCATATTAGGAAATAAGGGAGTTAAAAGATTTTTAAAAATTATCTAAAACCCACAGGGGGAGAGGGGTGAGTGCTACATACACTAAAATAGGAATACTACTTACTTGTTCCGGTAAAGATTAGAAGAGGTGAAAGCCATGTCAGTGTTAGGCCCCTGATACTTAATGTCAATATTAAAATGACAAAACTGTAACATTTGTACTCCACTGTGTTCTACTGTGACCAACCACAGCGTGCTTGTTTCTATCTACTAAATAAGGGGTCCCGTTTTTCAGAGTATACCTGTTAAGAACCCCCTAGACAAACAAGAGAGACACCCATCAAAAAGGAGTGGAGTGGGTTAAATCAAATAATTGCAGTGAGATAATGGATTTTTTTTAAATAAAAAAGTTTAACATTGTATTAGTGCTGTAGCACTCTATGTAGCAAATCAAAAAGGCTATATAGAGCTGGGGGCGGGGAGGTTTTCTGCACAGATGTGAAACTATTAACAAATTAGAACATAGTATCATTAGATATTTACTATTCTAGATTTTAAGCACTATAGAGTGCTGTGGGGGTGGAACCAAATTTTATAATTTGCCCCAAATTATCAGCTATAAATCCATAAATAAAATGAAAAAGATTCTCAAGTCTATTGCTCTAGTCATTTATCAAGGAATGATTTTTTTTTAAAAAGAAAAAAAAAATCCTTTACAAAAAAAAAAAAAAATGCTTGTTTTCATTTACTCTTTCACTGCTATCTACTCACATGGAGAGTCCAATTCACAGGAGTTATTTAACTTTTAGCCTCCTTGCTAAGCTTCCCAAATGCCAACGGGGGG